TTTTTTTTTGTTTGTTCACTTTGTGTAGAACTTTGAGATGCAAAAATGAAGATTATGATGGTTTATTTCGCTGTTTCCATTAAGCCAAAGTAATGGTTTGTTTGTGGAAAACTTATGTGTAAGGGGACAAAATATAAATTCTTGTGGTGAATACTAATTTTGTGTGACTGTCCTCTTGTGCCATACAGGATTCCTCAAATACCTTTTTGATTTTCCCCTTTTTTTTAAGTTGGTGAAAGGGATATATGTATAAAACCTTGTTCCCCTCCTGTTGGTCTATAATGSAGGATCTAAACTTTTTTGAAGGCTTTCAAGGAATCGTTTAGGTTGGAATAGACCTGTAAGATCAAGTCCAACCATTAACCCACCTCTGCCAAGTCCATAACAATATAAGGTGATACCTTATCTACAAAAACTATTAAAAAAAAAATCTTGAAATTAAGGTCACAGAAAGTGAAGCTGCTATGCAATGCTARCAGTTTAGAGTTAATGTATCCTATGAAAGTATAATAATTAGGGAAAATTAAACAAGCTTCAAAAATTGTAACGGAATGCTAGACCCTCTGATACATTCACTATCATTAAATTACAAATTCAAAACATGGGCTTGAGTGTAGCAAGYAATATTAGGTACTGTGACAGTATTRAGARATTATATAGGATAGAGAAAGATTTAATGTGTCACATGGACTTTTAAGATGCAGTTTAGCTTTACCAGGATAAATGAAAATGGAGAAGAAAGATTTGAAGTGAAGCTTCAAAAGACCAATGTCTTTTGACAGAAGTCAAAAAAGTGGTTTTATAGCAAGCAACCAGTACATTTGCTCTTTATGAAGGACTGAGGTCACTTTGCAGTAGGGGTAAGATTGCCTTTGCTAATCTTAATCTAATATACAATTGCAATACAGATATAGAAGAATCTTTATCCACAATCACTGATGCTAAACATCAGAGTTCACACCCATTTAGCATTGAACCATGGGTTCATTTGCAGATGCCYTGAAACTTCCTTTGAAACATGACCTTAGCAATGGATTATTTTTTATAGTTTAGCCATCTGTTATTGTTACTAAAGTAAAAATCAGGTTTTATTAATAAATATTTCTTAGTTTTCTTTTTGTACTACCCACAATATGTGGGATGTATTTGACTTGTGGTTCTGTTTTGCACTGATCTTGACTTTTATGTTTTAGTGGGAGCTTCTAAGGGTAACAAGTTTTTTAGAGCTTTCTCTAACTTAATTTCAAGTCTGAAACTGGACCAAGAGAGCAGGAGCATCTAAACAGTACCAGGGCAGGCAGTTTTTGAGCTAGATCCTGTTCTGTTCTGTATCCAAGGGCAGTCAAGATTAATGGACTGAGAACATCTGTGCCACARTCCACTGCTGGGTCACATAGATTTGAAGTTGGTGATGCTTATCAAGGGGAGTCCTTGTGCAAGCTTGGGCTGCAAACTAGGAATTCAAACATTTGCTCTGTGAAAGCAGCAGTGGATTGTGTTTTGAAGACAACTTTAGTCTGGATGCCCAGTATTTCACATAGAGTATATGAATTCCATGCAAGCTTTTGCTAGTAAATGTTGTAAACTTTGTGAAGTTATTAATTTTTGAAGTTCCCTGAAGAGCTGAGATACCAACTGAATACACAGAAAGTAATTTAGATTCTTGGTGCAAAGTTGTTGTTAATTATTTCCTACCACTCCGTGTTTTCAGTTTTTAATAGGCAGAAGAACCTGAGTGTTGGAAAGCTTGAAAAATCATCATTCTTGTAGCAAATCATAACTGACAGTCACTGACAAGTCTATGCTTGAGTGTAGAGGCTTCTTAATTACTTCAGCCAGAGTTGGGCAGAAGACAGTTGTTTCATACTGGAAGTTAATGGTTAGCTGTTCTCATGTGAAATCTGTTTTCATGTTTTAACTGCTGAGTTAAGCAGCATGGGTTCAGTATGAGATGGATGCCCAAAGCACAGGCCTTATTCAGTGGTTAGCCAGTTTTTACTGGGTTTTTTTCCTCCAGTTTCATTATTCACAATGATGCCAGGTTTCATGACTGCATTTTTTATATTTGGGTACTATTTGACTTGTGTCAACTGCAGGCTTTGCCTCTGACAAACTGACTGATGCTTGGTTTTGTTCTGAAAATGAATAGCTGCAGTTTAGATGATTCACTGTCCCTCTCTGATGGCTCTAGACAGTTTTCCATTTTTGTTCTCCAGCTGTTGTGACAGTTCTTTGAATTTCTGTTGTAGTTGGCCTGAGATGTTGGCATAAGCTTTGGCTTATTTCTGCTGTGGTGAAGTTAGGCTTCAATTCAAGGGAAGGGGTTATGTGTCTAAATGAGATCCCGGGGATGGAATGCATTAATCTTTCTGCTGTTTGACTCCATGAGCTGTAACCCATTGAGCAAAGTTAATATTTCTGCCCAGACCTGCTTCTCTCTGTTATGTTACACTAAATATTTGATTTCCTCAGAATCACAAGGAATTGAAAAATGCTGGATCTGTATTATTTAATTTTCACTGCCTATTTATTTATGTAGTATACATGTCTCATGCCTCTGTGTGGTATTCCTGTATTAATCTGCAGATCTAAACCTTGAGACTAAGAGGGAAGCTCAGAGGTTTGCAGATCCTCAATCCTAGAAAGAAAACCCAARTAGCGCACTCTGAACCTGACAGAGTTGTTCATTTAGCTACTGTTTTGTATGAATTAAGGTGCATCCAAAGGTCAAAAATTAATTCTGTTAAGAATCCGTCACACCTTTAATTCCACATCTGGCCACTCTCAATGCATCTTTGCTGGTGTCCCTCACTGACTAGGGATCTGCAAGTCCATTTCTTATGCATTTAGAGAGTGCTTTRTTATATTGCTCAGTGCTAATCTCTAAAATTTAAAATACCATCTGATGTGAAGCCACACTATGCAAAAAAATTAAATACCCATCAGCTTACTGGTATAAACCAAGCAATAGCATCAGCTGTGCTCAGTGTGAGCTGTTTTGCTTGAAGCTGGCTCATAGGTACTAAAAGATGGGAAACCAGTTAATAGATTCCTGCCGTAACACCTCTGCCTGTTAACRATGATAGTCCAACTGACCTGTAATTCTCAGCTTTCCTGGCTGCTTCCCTTTTGCCTAATGGCTTTGCTTTTTTTCCTCCTGYCTTCATTACCACTCCTATAAGGCTTTGTTAATTATTAACTTCCACTCATTCATTGAAGCCTTCAGGACACACCACCTGAGCATCAGCACGTTTTTCTTGCAGGTGGTAAGTGCTTGTGTTTCTGTGTGTGCAGCAGTGTGTCCAGAAAGATGGAAAGAGCTGAGGAATGTTTTATTTCTTTCTTAGTAATTTTATCAGTTGGGAATATGGRTATTTCTGTAGTGATGAACTAGTACCATTAGGGCACAATTTTTGTAAAGTCCCTAGGCTTGTTGTTATGGTGGGGTTTTATTCTAYCTTTTTCATATTTACATCTATAGTCTGCTCATTCCAAATTCATGAATTTGGACTTCTTGTTTTTGTTTATAGCTCAGTCCTATCTGACCTTTCACTCTTTTTCAGGAAATTAGCTTCTTACAGTAGTGTCGGATCTAGCTTTGGTTTCAGTTTCTCTTTGCAATGTCAGTTGTGTTCAGCCCTGGCCTGCAGGGGCCTAGTGGTTTCCAGGGTTTTATATTTTATTTTTGTGCTGTCTCAAAGCACAAATTGAGTGGTCTGAAGTCATGAGAAGGGGGAAGAAAAAAWACATATTTAAAATATGGCTAATGAGCGTGGGTGAGTTTTAGGAAATTGCAGCAGCTCCTACAAAGATGGTGCTGTTAACCATTCTTTTTGTCCTGATGTACTGGCTGTTGCTTATTTCTGAGAAACTAAGGGGAAGCTGAAGTCATTGGGCAAAGGCAAAAGCAGATGCTACCCAAACTTAAAGAAGTGTGGTCAAAAGGAAAGCTTCTTTTAGAGAGATGCATGCACTGGGAAGAATGGAGAATTAAATTTCCACAGTTTTTCCACAGATGTCTGGTGGCCATCTTTTTGCTCATGTTCAGTTCTCTGGGCTGCGAAGAGTCCTTCTCACTATTGTCTCCACTCTGCTTCTTGCCTGTGATGCTCTAGATCTTCAGTGCCTTCCCTAGCCATGTTACACTATTATTTCCTGTGAAGCTTTGAGTTACTGTAGTACTCCACATCTTCTCCTTTAAAMTGTACTGTTAACATAATTATTTCACCACGTTAAAACAGTGGCAATGATGTGTACAGAACACCAAGGCTGTCCAAGAACATTGGTTTTCTTTGTTGAGSAAATGGTTTTCAGTGGTGACTTGAAAATGCCTTTTCTGGAGGTCAGCATGCTAGCCTTGAATTTTTTTCAAGWGCACATTTGTGTGGTTGGATTAGAATCTTACGTGATTTTCTTGTTAAAGCAAAGTGAAATGCAAGCGGAACAATTTGCCACTGGTATTTTTTTGCAGCTTTGAGTCTTTAGTTATTAAATTTATTCTGGAATATGTGTGGTTATGGATTATCTGACATGGCAGCCTTTTTCCCTGGAAACACRTTTGTTGCCAAATAATGGCATTCCCTATTTATTTGTATGCCTAGAGATAAAACAGTTCTGCATTATATTTTCTTAGCATGTTTTTCAAAAGTCCCAGTGGCGTATAGACTATGTTTATGAAGTAGAKCCACAAAAACAGTATGTCTGGAACAGATGTATGTTTTCTTTTCCAAGGTCACATTGCATTGCATTTAAGATTTCTGGTACAAAAGAATTAATTTTCATAATCTCTTTTCTCTTTTAAAACAGACTGGAGGCCAAGAACAGAGTGCAGCACTGGCTGTAGGTAAGAACTGAAACTTAACCTGCTAGAAAACTGCTGGCAAATTAGCAAAATTGTGGTATGTTAAATGACAAAAAATGGGACTATTTGAATATTACTAATTTTCCTTTCAAGAACTTGTTTTTCCTCTTTTCCTTCAACAGCTCTTGAAATTTRTGGTGTTCACAGGGAGTCCTGATCCCTTACTAAATCTGTGCCTCTCGGTTAAAGGTGCTAAAGCAGGCTRCAAGGGTTTGGTTTTTGCTTGTACAGGACCTCACCACACAGCTGGGTGAGGCTGATTTTGAAAACTTCAGCAGTGATGTGAAGTCCCATTACTTCAAAGAAGGCATTTTTATTGTGCACAGAATTAAAGTGGTTTGGCCATTTGTGTGAACTTATCCTAGAAGACTMTGCAACTTCTTGAACAATTTAAATGAAGACGTGGTGTTTTGGTGGCTTTTTCTTTGTCTCTTCAGTAAAGCTACTGTGTAGCTGAACCAGATGCCTTATGCCAGAAACCAATACTCTGAACCAGCTTGTGAGACTGAAGAGGTAGYTGATGCTCCTGTGAAGGTTTTAGCTCTGAGTTTTATAATCTGCTTCTTGTGATCCAAGCTGCTGCMTAGAGTGTCTGTGTTATCCTTCATGTTTACTGTGCTTTGCCAGCACAGCTATCCATCTCCTGTCACATAGGGAAGGTAATGGTACCAAATGTGAGGTGGGAGTTATTTTTCTTCTGTTTTTGTTTAATCATCAAAAAGCCTTTGAATTCTGGGGAGCTGATTAAGTTGATTTGTGTGGTGGGTTTAGCCCAGGCTAGATGCCAGGTGCACACCAAAGCTGCTCTGCCTCTCCCTTCTCWGTTGGACAAGGGAGAGAAAATACAACAGAAGGCTCATGGATTGAGATAAGGGTGGGGAGAGATCACTCACCAGTTACTGTCATGGACAAAACAGACTCCACTTAGGGAAATTAGTTGGATTTATTACCAGTCAAATCWGAGCTCCTTCCCCCCAACCCCCTCCTTACTAGGCTTAACTTTATCCCCAGTTCTTTACCTCACCCCTCCCTGCTCAGTGTAGGGAGATGGGGAAGGGGGGTTACACTCAGTCCCTCACAGGTTGTTTCTSCTTGCTGCTTCCTCCTCAGGGAGAGGAGCCCTTCCCTGTTCCCATGTGGAATATCCCTCCCACAGGACACAGTTCTCCAGAAACTTSTCCAACATGAATCCTTCCCAAGGGCTACAGTTCTTTACAAACTTCTTCAGTGTTGGTCCCTTCCATGGGGTCACAAATCCTGCCAGCAAACCTTCTCCWGCATGGGCTTCTKTTCCCAGAGCACCACAGGTCCTTCTAGGAGCCTTTGTCATCAGTTTTGTTGACAAGAGTAGAAAACATTTTCTAGTGCTGTGTCCAGAACTATTTGAATACTGCATTCAGAATTAAGAATATATGGCATATAAAGTAATTGTCTTTATTTTGGTGTATAATTCATATTTTAAAATACTTGTTTTGCAGAACTACAAGTTTTGATGAACTGTCACATTTTTGTCATTCTTAGGAGAGTTTATGATATTGCTGGTTTAGGTCCACAGTCCTTGCTTACTGACTTGTGTCTGTGGGTTAAGGAATGAGTCTAGGAACTGACAAGCGTACAGCAGTATTTTCCAAATCTTTAATAAACTAATGGAAAAACATCTAGTGCTAGCAGCAATAGTACCTTTTTCCTTTAATAGCTTTCATTTGTGAAGTCAGCTGGGGGTGTTACTAAAACYGCAGTTGGGACTAGTGCAGACTTTTGATTTACAGCATTGTATGCTTTTGCAAAGGATAGATTATAAAAGTGACTAAAMTGAGTCAGACTATGGGTTTGTCTAGCCAAGTGTAGGCTCCAGGATCACCATCTTTCTTCCTTCACTTAGTTTGTGTGCACTTGATTTTGCACATCCTTTCACCCCCTCCAGTTATTCCCCTGCTAGAGCAGTGCTGCTTCTGCTCAGGAAGGTGAGAGTCATTCAGAAAAGCTAGCAAAAACTCAAGGAGCATTGCTGGGAATGGTACTGCCTGCAAGAAGAATGCTGTCCAGCAAATGGCTACAGCTCATGAAAAATARCTTCTGTTTTCTTTGAAGAAACTGTGAATCAGCAGTGCTTCAGGTATTGAAGGGAGAATGTTTGTAAGTTAAACTGATGTGGTGTCCACTTCAGCAGAAGCTGGGGTGTCAGACTCCTGATGCTTTCAACTTCTCCAGCTATGCCAAGACAAAGTAGTTGCCAAATGTTTGACAGTATCATAAATCATCAGGGTTTATTCAGGATGAGGAGGGACTGGCAGAAACCCTACATAAGCAACATGTAAAGAAAAGAACTGGAGATTATGGAAAACWTTTTTTAAGCTTTAAAGAATGGGACAAATTGAGCTAGATGTTGCTGTTGAATTAGGTTAAAACCTGAAAAAAAGCATACTATCCAGTAAAACCTGAACCTTTGTGTGAGCAGGTGTCTAGGGAAGAATGGGAGCAAGGGGACCATGTATTTGAGGTTCTTCTAGTATGTATTTTCAGGTCAAGTATTTTTCAGAGCCAGATGTGATTATTAAATGTATTCAGTATTCTTTAATGTCTTTCCATTCTGCATATATACCTGGTTTTCCCTAAGAACTGCTGCAAACTTCTTTTGAGATGGGCTAAGATGAACTTGTAGAGTTCACAGATGKACCACAGTGATATTCTGTGTATTTGTTACTGATCTTAACGGATTGTAGACTGTGTGAAATCACTGAAGAACAGCAATTTCCCCCCCCCCCCCGTTTCCAACAGGCAGATAAAATTAATTAATTAGGCTTACTGGGCACCTTTAGTTTGATTTTAAGATTAAAAGAAAATTTGAGGTATGTTGGGAGAGATCGAAAAGATGATTAAAATCTTATCATATTTGCACCACTGGAGAAATCTTAACCAGTGTGGTCCCAGGTGGGTTTTTCTTTTTTGTTTTGTTGTTGTTGTTATTATTGTTATTTTGGTTGGGGTTTTTTGGGGGTTTTTTGGGTTTTTTTTTGTTTAGGTGGGATTTTTTCAACACTTGCTTTCCAACAAGAAAAACTATCCAGGTTCAGTAAAAGCAGTTGGTGCTGTGTCTTATCAGGGGATCTGTAGATGTAACAAAGATGGCTGCAGATCCTTGATCTTGCAAAAAGTCTCTTGTGAAATTTCAAATAAATTACCACCATGTAGAGGCCAGTTTTATCCTTCTGCCTTGCCTGAGGCCTGTCTGTTTGTTACCATTTTTGGAAACAGATGGAGTGGGAAGGAGCATCATCCTGGTGCTCATCCTCTGTTGTACCATCATCCTCTTCATTAGCCTTCTGTATCCTGCAAACATACTGTGACTGCTGTCTCAGTAAAATGAAAGTCCACAGAATAATCAGAAAGCTATCCTGAAATATGGAAACCTGCCCTTCCAGCTCTGTGATTTGGAAGGTCCCTTCCTSCTTGATRTTTCAGAGCTGATGTGTCACTGAACTGAATTCTCAGATGGGCAGTCAGTGTCAGGTTCATGCACACAAGGTTTGTGGTTTAACACTGTGACATTCCAGCAGCAGTCCCTTGGGATGGAATGTGTCAATGGCTATTTRTATCTGTCAGCTTGAAGATGAGAAAATTTGTCATGACATTGTTAGTGCAGGATTACAAGCCAAGGCACTGAAGTGGTGCAAAACTGTTAGAGCTGAACTCGAAGAAAACATTTCAGCTGAGTGCTGCAGAGCGATGTGGGTCTTGTACTCCTTGTCCTGGTGCATTAGATGGCAGCACTGGCAAAGCTGTCAGAGCCTCAGTGCARCTTCATCCAGCTCTGACACTGAAACGTGTGGCAGTCTGATAGATGGGAATTCAGCTTCTCTGAAACAAGAACATTTCCAAATCAGACTAGGCTGGAAGAGGAGTGCTGTTTCACATGTGAAATACCAACTGAAAAATGGCACTTCAACTGGGCTGGTTAGGAAGTCAGTAATTGAAAAGATAGTTCTTTTTTTTAGTGTTTAGATAAAGCTTGCAGATTTGGTTTTGGGGGTTTTAAGGCTTTTTTTTTTTATTTTTGGTTGGGGTTTTGTTTTCTTTATATAGAGGTAAAAAGCTGGCACGAGAAGGACTTAGCATACAAATTATTGCCGGGTTTAKTTTTTTTTGTAGATGAGAGCTTGAGGGTTCTTAAATTATAGGCTGACATCCCTGAAATAAGAAACTTTCTTAGTAATGTGGTAGTATAGCACAGTTTTAAAAGGCATGGCATCTTTCATAGGGTAAGCAGCTTTTCTCTAAAAGAATAAAAAAAAAAAAAAAAAACTTAAATCTGCCAGAGCTCTTTTTGAATGAGTTTTTTTTTTGTGTCTTTATGTACCTGATAAAAACATTCCCAGTTTACTTTGAAAAAAAGTCAGACTGCGAGGTCAGCCGCTGTTTCCATGATAATGTCACAGTTCTGAGYGCAGTGTTTGGGCAGGAGGGACATGGCTGGTTCTGAGCTGCTGGGATCCATTGGCCATGCTGGTCSCAGCTTCCCCGCCTCTGGAATATCCACGGTAGGGCAGCGGCCTCTGTTGAGGAAATGGCAGTGCTGCAGGAGGCTCTGCASATCTCCAGCGCTGGAGGAGAAAGCCGAGTGTAAATTGCATTCCAGTGGAAATGTCCCTGAACTAAAAAAAAGGCTGTTTTTCCCGATGGTTGCAATGTAATGGAATTTGAAAGAGCTTTTGGCAGCATTAGGGTAAAGCGTGTTAGGCTTGTATCATTTTGAAATAGGAAAACATAATTAATGATTTTYTAGCCCCAGATTCACTCTTGGAAAAATTGTGTAGTTACTTGTTGAGGGGTAAATCAGAGCAGATTTTTGGAGCATAGTCTCTGCCCTGTTCAATACAAGTTCTGTTTTAAAAACAAGCTTAATTCTTCCAGACGAATTGGGTTTATTCCAGACTTGTGTGAGCATGCTTAGTTATTTTATTGTAACCCCTGTCAAATACGTT